CGCATGCTCGGAACGAGCTCACGTTAATAGGCTCCTAAGACCGGCAATCTTGATGGTGCGAAACGCACGTGGCGAAAGAACTATGGAAGCACGCCGTCAGCACAGGCTCAGCCAGTGGCGTAGGCAGAGGGGGGGTTTGGGGGGTCGAAACCCCTCCCGAAATACCAAAGCTACCCTCCCCCCCCCCCCCCCTTCCCTCCCCAACGGGCCCGCTCGCTGCCCTGCTCACGCAGCCGGTTTTGCACGAGGCACGGAGCAACGGGGGAGCACGGACCATCTCCAACTTACAGGCTTCCGGAAAAATTTTTGGTGGGGTAGAAAATGCTCAGATTAATAAAATATGCAAGATTGCTTAATTCATGTTAATTCGATGGGATGCAGAACTTGATCTCAGATATATAGAGAACGGATATTTCAAGATATTTGTCGGGTGAAGGATGGCAATTTCAACGCAAAATATGACAAACTATCTTCACTTAAATACACAGTTCAATCAAACCAATGTGAACATAATACAACGAACACACGGTGATAATATAAAACAATGTCAGTAATGTAAGGAATAATAAATGAATTGTAAAAAAAACAATCGCTTTGTAAGCAACGGGTGGCGCTGCGCTCACGCACACCTTTTGTGATCAGAATTACGTGCTTTCGACTAGAAATTACCACGAATAAATAGGTAACTCTGACTAGTGATATTATAATGCAATTTACAGGTTCTCTTTATCATCTCATATATGCCAAGCGCCTACACATTAAAATGTAGCCGCTTGCGTTGACGGAAAAAAAATATCCCGGACGTCCTCAGCTTGAACTTTAATGTCGCGGTGAACATTCAAAAACGCTATACTTCGTTTCAGCTTAAATCCAGGTGCAGCCGATGCCACAAGCACGAGTTCAGGGCTTTCAGCGACCCTGCCAAGCACGCGCGTTCATGCAGCGCAAGCATTGTTCAGGGCCACATGTTCACGCCTGTAGCATCGACTGCGTTTGAACTGAAGCTGAAACGAAGCATAGACCGAGCAGTCGCTCACTCGAAGTGGACGCTCTCAGCTATGCTTCCAACCGTCGTAGTGAAGAGAACGAGCGCTCAGCTTCCGCCGTTGTTAAGGGCAAAGCAACTAGAATCTTGAGGAGACGATGGACGTTCTGAAAAAGGGCCTCCGGACAGAGGGCGACCACCTGTATACCGCAGATGTGACGGGCGCTTCACGTTTTTCCCTCTTGCATTGGACGCCTAAAATTTCCCCTATTTTTGGTGAAGTTTCCCTCACTTTGCGAAAGTCGTCGCTCACGGATGCGATGAAGTCCGTCTTGCTTTCTGCTTTGTATGTCAAGGTGGCATGTGATGCAATTCCTTATTACTATTAGGTTAATCTCTCCGCTGCACGGAACATCAGAAACTTGAAGAGACAAGCCTTCATATTCTCACTACGCACAGGCGCAAGGCTAGTCAAGTTCCTTTCCACGTTTGGCGTGTAGTTTCTTTGTGGTGCGTCATGTCATTTCTCCGAGTGACGGAACGACGAGTTCGGACTGATGACTTCTTCTTACCCCGAGGATATGCTGCTGCTGCCTTTGGATCACGCTGCAAGATAAAACGACCTAGCAAAGATAACACTATCTTTCCTTCGGCATCTGGTTCTGTAGCACGAATTCGTTAAACATTTAATAGATAATAGATTTTGGTTTTGTGATTGCTCAGAATTACCTTCGGCCCTAAATATGGGCCCCTAAAGACTAAAGTGTTTGTGCGTGGTCGGTTGCTCCCATTTTTCAGTGTCGAAATTTTTTTTCTTTTTTTTTTGCTGTTTTTTTTTTGTATGTGTGTGAAAGTATAGCTATTTTTGTGTTTTCTCTGGCCTTTACGCGTTGGTATTGCGGTGCTACTTCGAAAAGCGAAGGGAGTTTTGTGTTGTGAGAAAGCGTTTAAAGTTGGTGGGCCGCAATTACGACGACAGTAGAACAGTGAGCCACCCCGCCCGTATTCCTGTAAATGAAGCCTGCTCCGTTTTTAAAAATGACAATGCAGCGCTACCCGTATTATCTTAACAGCGTCTCCCTAATCTTTGCCTGAGCGTCCGTGTCGGCGAGCTCACCCTCCGTCATTGACCGGGGGGGGGGGGGGGGAGGGGATGCCGTTGAACCCCTCCCGAAATAAAATCCTGGCTCGGCACTGGGCTCAGCAGTCGCGCACATAGCTATGGCCGCCAGTGAATACTCCCTATAAATACAGGGTGAAACAAGGAGACACCAGGCTCTTTAAATCGACCGGAAAATTCGGTTTCTTAATCTATCGCGCTAAGACTTTGTGCAGCGTTGCCCACAGATGGTGCACTTTTTTTGTAAAATTTGCAAAGAGCGAACTTACCTGAGGAAAAAGTAAAGAAAGAAAAAGGCTTAGCTCCTATGGAAACGCAGCGACGCCACCGGTCTTCAAACAACACGGCGCCGTTTCGCACGGGTCACAAGAGATGGCGCAACGAACGCCGCCAACGAACGAGCATACGGCGCCGAGAGCCAGCGCCTCAAGCAGACAATCGTTTCGACTCAAAAGCGGAGCGCGTTCCGCGGGCGGCGACAATCGCAGAAACAAAAACAAGCGCGGTAACAACAAGGAACTGCAGTTCCTGTCTGCGTCGTCTGCTCGTTCGTTGGCGGCAGTTGGCGTCACGACCGCTTGCGCCATCTCTTGTGGCCCGTGCGAAACGGCACCGTGTTGTTTGCAGACCGGTGGCTACGCTGCGTTTCCATAGGAGCTAAGCCTTTTTCTTTCTTTACTTTTTCTTCAGGTAAGTTCGCGCTTTTCAAATTTTACAAAAAAAATGCACCATCTGTGGGCAACGCTGCACAAAGTCGTAGCTCGATAGGTTAATAGCGAGTTCGTTTCACTGCACTCGTGCCCACGCGTGCCCACTCGCAGCAAGGAATGGGTTCGTTTCGGCCGGCGCTCCACGAGTGGTTGCACTCTCCGAGTTCGTTTCATCGCTGACACCCCACGCGTGCATGCGCTCGCTGCACCGAGAAAATCGGGAGTGCGCCAAAATGCAATCCCGTCATGCCTCGCTCCGGCGGGGCCGGCGAGGAGCGGGAGCAGACGACGAGGGTTTGTCTGCTACGATATGTGGCGGAACCGAACGGAAAAAAAGAGGCGAGAAACAGACGCACAGTGCTGTCTGTCTCTCGCCTCTTTGTCCCCGTTTTTTGAGCGCTAAAATGTATTCCAAATTCTAAAACCAACTAGCCCAACAATCTACTCTACAGAAAAAAAAAAAAAAGTAGATTTTCTGATAGAAATCATGTCCCGCGGGCAACGAAATCAAACGCGAACTTGAATTGTGAGCGCCTGCTATTTCACGAAGGAAGCAATTGACAACCCGTGATTCATTTGCAGGTTTTAAATCACTCTGTTGCCGTACAAACGCTGAAATATACCAGTGTGTAAAGAAATGCTCAAAACAAACGCAACAGCGGCCCTCGAGATTTCTATCACCATCCGTGTGTGGGTGAAAAATTGAACATTTGTCGATAAAACTCCCCCTCTGACTACCCAATAAGCATCAGAGAAAGCTAAAGATGGTGACTTTACCTGAGGATTGGGCAACATCATCATGTTTAACATTTACCTAAGCAGCTAACTTGCCCCGTCGTATTTTGTTCGAGAAAGCTCTCGTTCTCGACGTCCTCACCAAAGGTAATATCTAATCCACCTATAGTGACGATTTAAATCGAAAATCCCAGTTTTGCTGGATATTCTACCAGGCTAGTTTTAAGCCGTACCCTTTCAGTGGTTCACGCATAATACCATGCTCAAACGGATCAAGCTTCTGCTCGGACAGCATCATTAGTTTTCTTCAGTGTAAACGGTTATAAGAATTGAAAGATCGCAACCAGCTGCTTTGTAGACAGCTGGTTGCGGAAATTTACGCCGTCTGTAACTAGCTCTACGGCAGCCGAGCTGCTTAAAGACATCGCAACTATAAACTACAGGCTGCAGTTGCCAACGTTAGTAGATAAACGTTGGTAGCAACTGCATTCTCGCATTCCCACGCATCACTCAGAACCTCTATGCTCGGAACAGAAAGGCGCTAGTTTCGGTTTGAAGTCGGTGCCTTTTCTACAACATAGATGGCGGCAGCATCAGTCTTCTGCACTCGGTGCATTTGGCAAGTTCGTTTGAGTCCAGTTTTCCGTGCAACACTCTGTGAGTGCGATGTCTTCTGGGAGAGAACTCGAACGGTGCCAGTGCGTGCGAAACAAACTCGCTATAAGAGACCGAATTTTTCAATTAATTTAAAGAGCCTGGCGTCTCCTTGTTTCACCCTGTAGATCGGCCATGGTAACCTTCCAGATATGTGCACGAAACGAGTCTTAAAACCTTTCAGGAATATTAAAACGTTTGTAGAAACTTCATACGTTGCAGTCTCTTTTGCCTTAGAGTCTGCGGCTCCACACGGGCCTAATTATTTATCTTCGAAATATTTTCGGCTTCTGCCACCCGTATTCACGGTCGGAAGGAGCTTACTCGATCTACCGATCTAACTCTAGGGTAAAGGTGGTTATCGAAAACCTACCCGCGTCCAGCGTTTCTCTATTTTTGTTGTCACGTGACATAATCGGCCAGTGTAACTCGGATCCATTCGAGTAGGTTTGGAACGCAGCCTCGGTGTATCGCGCTCTTGTACGCTATGCGCCGTTTAGTTGCTGCGCTCGGAGTATGAAACTCGGAGCGTCGGAGTAGGAGTAAAGAAGCGCCGACTTAACGCGCCCACTATCCGCACTCGGAGTGCGAATAGGGACAGCCTGGATGGACTGGCTCGACAGTTATCTATTCGGACGTGACACGCCCGGCGGCGATGCTCTAAGCTCGTCTCTGTCATTTCGGCATGCGTCTCACTTCAAACTTTGAATCTACAACGAAAACTAGCTGGATATCCCTTCAAATATGTTCAATCAACACGCTATCGAATCAATTTAAAAGAGAAACACTTGCTTACCGGCGGTTAGCGTTTCCCGAAGGTGCTCCGGCCGCCGTGCACAACCTACGGTCGTTGACTAGACGCAGGGTCCATCAGCGTCTCCCAGATATCGTTTGTTACTCTTGACAAAGTACCTGTAAAAGAAAAAAGAGAAAAAAACCTAAAGGAATCGGTTTAAACATAGAAATGAACGCAAACCACAGAGCGACGTCGACGACGGCGCGCTTCCCATTCGTATGCCAGACTGTGCCAGACCATCTGGAACTACGGAGCAAGTGGTGGTCACAAACGCAAAACTTTAAATGCTCTTTTCTTTTTCTTTTTTACTTTTTCTTTTACACGTCGTATGAACAACGGCTTTTTTTTCTTTTTAACGCGCCTGCGACAACATTTTTGGAGTGACCGCTTTTGTGCAAAATTGTTTTGGTGCTACTGTAAATTCTGAATACTTTTGGTTTCGGTTTCGGAAAACCAAGTGGAGAAAAAAACAAAAAAAAAAACAAAAAAAAAATAACGCTTTCGGAAACACTAGTAGTATCTCTGGAATCGTGATTTGAAAGGGAGATTGGAAATGACGCTTTCTTTTGTTTTAGTACAAACTCTGCCTTTATTTTTTTATTAGTGCTTTTTTTAACAATTGTGCTATCCCGTCGTCGCGTAGTACAAACTGTGCCTGCATTTATTTATTTTTTGTGCATTTTTGTGCAAAATTTATTGTTTTTTTTATGCTATGGCTTCGTCACATTTTCCAAAATAAATATTTGTAGCACTTCAACAACGAATATAAATGAATTAATGAAAATGGGTAAATATAAAGACGAGCTACTCTAATTCACAGTATGCCCGAAGTCAGATGTGTGCCCTTAAAAATATTTTTAAATGCAAAGGATATTTATTTTCATAAATGCTTTCAGTATAGAAATAGGGATTTCGTGAGTATGGCTTGCAGCCTAGATGACGTCACAGTATTTCGTGACACTGATGCTATCATCCCAAAGGCGCTCGAAATTCTAACCATACTCCATCTCAGAAATGTTTGCAGTAAAGACAAAGGCGCAGAGAGGCGCGTGAGCATCGCTCAGTAGTGTGCTTTTGTTTGTGCGAGCACTCGTTCAGAAGAGGCACTTTCTAAAGCCACGCGCTCGTGCCGGTGCCTTTGTCTTCACTGCGAAAATTTGAAAGTTCTTTTTTTTTTTTTTGCAATTTTTGAAGTAGGTTGGCCGTAGTTTGTTCCCAAAATAACTTTTTGTTTTCTTTTTACACCCTATTTTTAAACGAAGTTTGAAAGTCTCCGCAGGCACACCTGGCCGCTACTGTTAATATTCTGCCGCTTTTTAGCTACACAAATTACATTTTGTTTTACATCCAGGGCCAGTGACGTAGGCAGGGGAATCCCCCCAATACCCCCCAAAAATGTGGCGGTAGGTTGCGGCATACGGACCCCCCCCCCCCCCTTTTTAAAAAAAAATTATGTCACCAATGTCCAGGGCTAACAAAATGAAACGCACACAGACACAGACGCACGCACACGCGAGCGCGCAAGCACACACACAGACGCACATTCACGCAGACATGCACACGCACGCACACATACACGCACGCGCACAGGGACGTGGCATACACGCGCGCGCTCCCGCGCACACATGCACACAGACGCATGCACGCCTGCACACACCAGTGTTGCACACGCAATCGCATCCGCAGAGGCACGCACACGGACTCTCGCGTTCACACCTACACACACACACAACGCACGTAAAAAATGCATTTAATTTTTTTAACATAATCTAAACCCTGAGACAAGGAGAAATAAAATAACGGAGAAGGCAAGTTGTTTTGTCTGTTATTTTGTTTATCATTGTCTCGGGGTTTACTTTCGTTCCTTGATCTTTCAAACCTGCCGGAATCTATACCGAAGCTACCTCAAGTATAGTTTCGGTTTCTTTGCATGGGCAGCGCTTTGAAATAAAACTGGTAAAACCGTAAAACCGGCCGGCCAAGACAATCCATTTTTTTCAATGGCGTCGCAGACTCGCAGTTTCATCTGGACGTGTCGCTTGGACGTGTTGACGGATTTAAAGGTGAGATATTATCTGCAACATCCTTTCGAACACTTGTTATTTGTTCGGGAACCTGGTAAGTGAATATAGAAACCTTTTTTTGTTTACATTTGATGGGAGCGACCACATATGTCTGACTGTCTTTTTCGTGGTTTCGCGGATTGCTTTCGCTCTTTAAAAATACCCTGTGCCCAGAGTGCCCTCATTCAATGGCATTCTCACGGCGATATTTTGGGGTTCTTATGGTATCCGCGAGTTTATCGTTAATATTTTATTTTGAAGTTCTGCCGTGGTACTAGCGACATGATAACGGGGTGATCTGCTTTCAGCTTCTCAACCTGTACTATCGCGGACAAAATGAGCTGAAACAGCGCTCCGCCCTGCGCCGCCTGTCGCCTTGCTCCGCACGCACGGCGCACCCTGAGGCCGAGATAAATTCTCACTTGCGCTCGCTGCGCCACTGCGCTCTTCCGTCCGTCTGCTAGCGAGACGGCTTGTGCGACAGCGGGCGTGTGCGTGGTAGGGCGGCGGGCGGGGGAGGGGGGGGGGGGGGAGATGTGCATTGTTGAGGTTGTTCAGGCCACAGTTCAGGCGTTCCGCTCTAGGCAAGGGGTTTTGTGGTGCGGCAAAGTCGCTCCCACGCCACGAGGCGGCGTTTTGTTGCCTCCGTCGGATGATTCAAGTCCCCATGTGGCATGTAATTTCTACGGTCACTGTCGTCGTCGTTGCCCTCCTCGGCCTCGTCTCCGTAGCCAAGGGCCTGTGCTATACCGCACTACAACGCGCTTTGTCCTTTCTGGTCGATGCTACTGCGTTGTCCCAAGATGTGTTCGACAGTCTCCTCGTCGCCGCCACAGAGCCCGCAGTTTGGATCTTCTCCATAAAGCTCAAATCTGCGTCTCTGGGTCAGTAGGGAGCCCGTTCGAGCCTGGAACAGCAGCGCACTGGCTCGGTCTCCCTGCTAGTGGGGATAGGGCGCTGGTTCCTTCTTGTGTTTCCTGTACAGTTGGAGGCTCAGTAACCTCTGCACTGTCCTTCTCCAGTCCTCTATTCCGGCCCGTGTCACCTCTGCCCGTATTGTCCTCGCCCACTCCTGTTCCGTCGTCACCAGATGTCTTATTGTGCCCCCACCGTACTTAGAATCTATGGTCTTTATTCTCTTCATCCAGCCTGTCTTGGACCCCTGATATCGGATGTGGTAGTACATCCCTCTGGCGTAGCTCTCCTGGGGAAGGAACTTTAGTCTGCCCATGTATGCAAGCTTCGACCTGGCCTCTCGTATCTTGTAGGTAGACATCCCATTTCCCCGGTTACCGCTGCGTTTGCTGTGCAGCTCAGCAGCCATCTCCCCAGTCTGTATTGATGTCGATCCAGACACTTTACCACTGTCTCGCTGTATGTAATCGCGTCATTCGCGTAAGTCACTGCTTGGACTGCAAGGGATTTCCATAGTAGCCTCCCAACCGAGTGTCTATTGTATGAGTGCCTGGCGAGATGCCACACCACCCCCTTCAGTTTGTTTGACTTTTTAGTTACGCTTTTTTCCTGTTTGGTCAGGTAGTCCTTGCTGTGCGTTATTGTTACACCAAGGTAATTGTAGGCTGTTGTTTTCTGTACTGTTTAATTTTGTAGGTAAAAGCTGGTGTCCAAATTCACGTTGGAGCCCATCCACTGCGTTCTTCCTGCATTAAATTTAAGGTTGTCCCTCGCTGCCACCCCTGTGCAGATGTCAATCATGTGCTGCATATCGGTTGAGGACTCTGCGAGGAGCACCACATCGTCCGCAAAGGCCAGGCATGGGATGCGCGTGTATTCTTCCTCTTTGTCCTTGGTCGTAGTGCTCAAGCGCAACCCTGCCCCTTCCTCCTCCAGATGTTTGAGAAGGTCGTTTGTGTACACATTAAACAGTGTTGGTGATAGGCGACACCCCTGTCTCAGTCCAAAACTTATTGGTACTGGTTTTGATTTGTAGTTTTCTAATGTGTACCAGGCCTCGCAACCCCTGTACAAGCTCTTCAGGCGTTCGACACTTTCCTTTTCGAGTCCGCTTTTCTCCATCTTATCCCATAATCTTTGGTGTGGTACTGCATCATATGCTTTCTCGAGGTCTAGGAATGCCAGGAACAACTGGGAGTTTTGGATGTTTTTCATTTCTATGGCTTGGAATTAACGTAAATAGGTTATCGCTTGTTCTTCTGTTTTGCCGAAAGCCATTTTGAGCTTCTACGAAAAAGTTGTTTTTATCATACAAGATCTGTAGCCTGTGGTTTATTATGCTTGCAAATAATTTGCAGACTGCTGATTATTGCGATTGGTCGATAGGCATGGAGGTCTTTTGGGTCTGCTTGTTTCCTTTTATATAGGAGCTTTACTCTTGCCTGTTTCCACACTTACGGTATTTCTGTTGACACCAGGCGTTCATTAAAGCATGTTCTGAGGTTGTTTGCTGCCTCTTTCTTAATTGCCTTCAGGAGCTCGTTCGGAATATCATCCATACCGGTTGCCTTCTTGTTTTTCTGTCGTCTTATTTGCTTCTTCATTTCCCCCGTGGTTATAGGATCTAGTATGGAATGCTTCTGTATTTTGCGTTCTCCCAAAGTTTCTTTTTGACTGTATGTCTCTTCCGGGGTTTGCTTCAGTTTTTTGTTGTTGCTGTAAGAAGTACTCAGTCATCCATTCTTCTATTTCGCATTTTTCTTTCAGGTCTTTGCCCCCTCTTTGCATCATACGTGTCTGTTCTTTCTTTTTTTCTGCATGCATTGTAGTAATTTGTCTCCAGAATTTCTCGTTAGATTTTTTTCCCCTTTTTCAGTATGTCTTCCTCTGTCTTTCTGCAGAACTGTTGAATTTTTGCGGCCACTATACTTTGTTTCACCTTGTGTTGTACCGCAGGAAAGGCTACAAGCGCGAGCTCCTTGCTCTATGGCACACCTCGGCGGCACAAGCTCTCGTGCACCTAGGGCAGCTGCCAACGCTATGAGCTCGCACTTCTAGCCTTCGCTGCGGTACAGCATGAGGTGAAACGGGGTATAGTGCCTTCAC